AACATTAGGATTTCAAGCTACTAGCTTTGGCCCTTAGGGTTTCCAAAATTATTGTTGGTCAAAACGAATCGTTTTGAAACTGTTTGGGGTCTATGCTGGTATAATGATTTTGGTGTAGCTTCCCATGGGCTTACAGAATCAGACATGAAATTAACATAAATCATACAGTTATATACTCAGGGCTGAGGGCTACGAGTTTGGAGGCGTTGTGGGGAAGGAAGGCCCAGGTTTGCCTTTGGGTGGGTTAATTTAAGGCCTTGTTGGCGGGATGGGCTGGGGGACGAGGACATGGCCCCCAAAAGGTTTATTGGGGGCTTGCAAGCACTCGGCCAGGTAGGAGGGGGCCCGCAAGCAGAATCAATAGAGGATTGATCGAGGCTACAGCCTGGCTCACTGCAATATCCACTAACATCGACAAACAGAAACATGGGCATCCGGATTTATGCACTTCATTCATTGAGTTCCTCCTCGACCCATCAACGTAGGGACCTGGTGAAAATGATTGCGTCGCCACCACGAGACATCATGCAGGCAGTGATTGTCACAATGTTTGGTTTGCTTAAGTGCTCACACGGTTTGGGCAGGCCAGGGTTTGGAGCCCCAGGGCACCCAAAAGAACATTCGTAATGATATTTTCATTGAACGCGGTGGCGTGGTTTGAATCAGCCGTGGTGCAAACATTTAGCCAATGGCAGGACTCATGCTGCTGAAGCCATGTGCCAGACTAATGAGGCTTGCTTGAAACAAGCAGAATCTGTCAGAGGCAAAGCCGTGCTCTGGGACATAAGTCATGTTTCGCCTCTGCGCAGTGCAATGATTGCAATGTTCCTCACTCCTGCACACGTTTGAGTATGTGTCTGGAAGATTAGTCTGAGCTATATAATCACCTTGGTACTCACTGCCCGCAAAAAGGAAACTTGCTACCTCCTGATCTTCATGAACTGAGCGTGGATAGAAGGCGGAATTCAATGCCCCGTTTCACCCCATTTCAAGACAGTCGCTTCGGCTCGGACAGTCCTGATGAGATACGTGCCCGGTTTTTCTGTTTCCTGGTTTGCTGTTTTGGGGGTGGTTGTGGTTGTTGTTTGGTTTTGTGGTTTTGGGCCTTGTCCTTTTCCTGGCTCGTATCTTCTCAGTTATCCTATTTAATTCAATCAAGGTGACTTGTGCCTTTCGGCACACACAGCGCCTCCACTCGTGCAAAAAAAGTCACTGTTGACCTTGCTCACGGCACTTCGTAGGATGTTGAAATTCTCCGAGTGCCAATCACCAAAGAGGCAAGGGCAATTATACCCCTGCCAACTGAGTGAGGCCACTTTTGACTGGCCGTCCCGAGCAACCACCCACGTTCAGATGCATTTTGCCTTTCAGAAGCATGAGTGACAATTCTAAGCTGCCCCTATACTGATCTCCTGTAGCTTTGGCTCAACTGTCAGCTTCCCCTGGTGTGAACACGTCGGAGTGCTTGGTTAGCACTCATGTCGACCTGGCCACCCTGGTCTCCCAACTAGTTGCGGGAACCTGTTCAGCTGGATCACGACAGTGATATTGACGTCACGCAATTCGTTCGTTTTGAGACTCAGTTTGAGGATATAGACTATGGCGTACTTGACGTGGTAGTTTCCTTCCGACATGAAGGGCACCTAGTTCACATGTACCTGTTGCACTACTTCGCGCTCACCGAACGATATGACAAGGATGGTAGCGTCATGACACGGACTAAATCCTGCGTCCACTAGCAGTGTATCGAAAAACTGGTGGCACCGGTGGTCCATACCAGTATCGTCCCCCTGACAGATGTGCACTATTCTGATGAATATGAACTGAGCGCAAGGGATGAATTCATTCCCCTGACAGATGTCAGTTTCGCAGAGCACGATGCCTTTGATCTGTGCACGCAACTCACACTCCCAAAATGGATCCGACTCTAGCTTTGGTCAGATCAAGCAATGTATCAGCTGTGGAAGCTGGTGTTGGCCAAATCACCACTGCTCTGCTTAGAAGCATTTTTTGCCATGAGATGATTCATCCACCCACTGGCCTTTTTGTTGAAAGGCCCAGAAGGCCAAGATATCAGGCTCCACTTCACCTTCTCCAGGCTGTTAGCTGATGGTGCAGCCCAGAAGCAAGTTTGGAGCAGCAAAGGAAGTTCTGCTTTTTGTGCGCCAATGTTCGAGCCAGTGGCACCACAGAGGACCAGATGCCCTGCAACATCACCAAGTACAGCCAGTTGGTGCTGACCAGTGATGCAGAGGTTCGCCAACCATATGCCAAATTGGAAGCCAAAAGACCCAGTGTACCAAAGCAGGTTTGACATGTGGCAGGGCCACAGGCTGGAACCACAGCTCCAAGGCTTTACTTCTCGACCCAGACTTGAAATCCATGGGTATCTGAGGCCATGCAGCCAATTTGCACATGATTACATGCGTGGCATACTGCACTGAGCAACGCCCATTGTGTT